CGTCTCACATGAAGGAAATTCGCGATCTTGTACGTCTGATTGGTTTGTTCATCACATTCTTCTTACATACACCACTTCTTTTACAGATCACCAATATCAAACGTCGCGACAAATCTTTCGACATTGCTGGTATCTTGGTCTACAGCGGCAGAAATCTAACGGTGCGGAACAAGACGGCTTTTTTCATGAGTTCCGAGGACCTTCACGCGCTCTGCACCTGTGAGGAGTGACCAATGGCCACCTTGACGGACATCTTTGTTAGCAAAGTCCGGTGCGTTGTCCCCCTTTCATGTTATGGGTTTTTGTCTCACTTGTGCTGCTACAGTGCTATGCATGCGGACCAGCAAATTAAGCAGTCGATGGAGGAACTAAATGTGACTCCCTCGACTACAGCTAGCTCCTCAATGGCTCGTGCCCGGACCAGCCTTGCATCTGCTTTGAAGAAGGAGGCTTCTTCGGATAAGGATGTGCTACCTTACACGAAGGAACGTCAGAAACAATTCACGCGATTGTTTCTTGATCTTTTGAGTAATATTTTGCTTTGTTCAGTGATTAACAGTTATTGATATGATATTCAGATGGGTGCTTGGCTGAAAAGGATCGACGCACGTCGGCCCCTTGGACCACGTGGCCCAATCTCGCCTACCAATTCAAACTGGTTATCACAGGTTGGGATTCTGCTATGGTCGACATAGCCTTCTGCCCGGGATTTGCACCTACCAAGATCACAAGCTCTCAATGGAAGCACCTATCGACTCTGATTGTAAAGAAGCTCTTGGTGGTGAAGCCCTGGTCTGACGGTAAGTTAGATAACAGCCCTCTGGAGGACCTACCCCCGATCCTTCGCAGGCGGCTCCCGTACAGCGCGGCGGCAGTGAAGCAAGAACATGCAGAAACACTAAAGGTGAAGTGGAAGGAGGCATGGAAGGAATCACCGCGCTACGCAAGGTTTCAACATGTGGATCCCAGCTTCCCCTTCAGCAAATTCCGAAGACTCAGTAACCTGCTCTCAAGATCGCAGGCAAGCTTACTGATGCAGCTGAGAACCGGACACATACCACTCAATGGTTACCTATATCGCATAACAAAGTCAACCACCAGCCGCTGCGACGCATGTTGGAGGAGAAGGAGACAGGAAGTAGCGGAGACAGTGGTACACTATCTATTCGAGTGCCAAGAATACGCGGCAGAACGGTACGACATGGATCGGGCGTTGGGCCGCCACTCAAGAGATTTCCAAGTGATCCTGGCGAGCTTAGACGACATAAAGGAGTTACTTAAGTTTGTGGGAAGGACAGCCAGATTCAAGAAGACCCTCGGGGAATCCATAGGTGACGTGTCTCACTTGGAATCCGAGGAAATTTGACAGGTAGCACCACTTCTTCTAGGAAACATGTAAACGACGCAAGACACTTGGAAGACAAACTGGCGCTGCGGCCAGCGGGTTCGCCCACCATACCCCCCCACTCTCTTACCCGCAACTCAGCCTGCGGACTTAAGCACCAGAATCGCATCGCAAGCCACAAGCACATATAATCAAACGACAGAAGACAGTAACGAACATCA